AGATTAGCTGGATTCCCTGTGGTTGTAAAGGCCAGATCTGGGACCAATGGACGGAAGATATGGGACTGGAAGGGGAGGCAGGTTTTAGCTTGATATGATGAGAAATTCTCTGCCAAGCCACTGTGTCTGAAGCTGGAATGGGCTGTATTCAAGGTGGTAAATGTCCTAATGTGAGATATTTGAGTAAATGCTAGATATCAACTTGTTATGACTATTGGAATAATTAATGCATGAAATGGGGAGGTGAAGTGGGTCAGTGTTGCCCAGCCCTACACACACTAAATACACTGTGCCAATCGGATTGATTCTCTACCTTGGATACCAGGAAAAGGTTCAGGAAGGAAGTATAAAGAGGCTATTTAGGAGAAGGGGAGGGGATAAAGGAAATAAATTGGAAAAATTATTGCTTCTCTGGCTGGGAAATACTGGATTAAATGACCTCTTAAGTTTTTTTCTAATTTAAATATTCTAAAACTCTCAAGTTGTTTCATAGACATTATTTTAACTATATTCCTAGGAGAATTTTCCTATTTTAGTTGTGGAAAACTAGAGCATAACACCTAAAGTAAGAGGTAAAATGGGAAAAGAATTTAGACATCCTGACATTCAGACCCTTCTAGACGTTTGCTCCCACCTCTCTTCAACTGGTGAGAATGAAAGTTGGGGAAACAAGACAGAAGTGGTCTTAAAGTTAGACTAGGTGAAAATCAAATCAGCTTTAGAGACTGGTGAAGTATCAGCTCAACTAAGATTGCAGATTACTAACTTTAAAGACTGTGTACACTGGACTTGCTGGTAAAGTACTTCAGAGTTCTATAATCATACAAAGACTAAACCAACTAACTGAACATGTGAAGCCAATGCCCTTTGTGTTTAAGATAGAGTCTCACTCTATGACCTTGGGTAGAGTGCCTTGACGTCAGAGCTCAACAGCAACCTTGAATTCTTGGGCTCTAGAGGTCCTCTTGCCTCAGCCTCCAAAATAGCTGGGACTACAGGTGCCCACAACACACAGCTAGTTTTTCTATTTTTAATAGAGATGAAGTCTTGCTCTTGCTCAGGCTAGTTTTGAACTTCTGACTTCTGAGCTCATGCAATCTACTCACCTTGGCCTCCTAGATTTCTAGGATTAAAGGTATAAGCTATAGAGCCTGACAGCTAATGTCCTCTTTAAAGGGGTTCATAGAGTAAGAATCTTTGTCCTGATTAGTCTACGCATATTTCAGATAAAGTTGATCATCTGGCTTTCAGATCAATAGGTTTACTTGACAAGATGTGATCAGATTACACTGCTATTTTCATCCCCAAGACCTCTAGGCTACAATGAATACTTCCCTTCCAGTGGACATCAGCCGGCAGGGCAAACCAGTCCTCCTTAGATAGAAGGTAAAAAACTAGTCACAGAGAGTGTAACCACTTTGTGATAGGGATTTTATTCGTTAACTTGGCAGAAGAGAAACTGGACAATAACAGGAAGGTTATGAAATCTCCTGGGCTGGCGCAGCATCTGCTACTGGCAGATGAGAAATCAGAGACTCTCTGCAAAGGGTGACTTGCCAGAGAAAACAAGAAGCTCCCCAGTATCACTGTCCCCCATTCTAAGGAGAGGAGGAAAGCAGGGGATGGGGCGAAGAGGAAACTACTCTTCATACTTTAATTATATAAACTTTGATATTGTCTTGGGAAGAGACTTTTTTGTCCATACGTCTTAGAAAGTGGAAAAGTAGATGCTGCAGCCCAAGAATTGTACAAAAGTCAGCCCTACCATGGCCTCCGTTCTTCTGCAAGAAGATCCCTGTATGACCCCTGATAGGAAAGCAGAAGGAGGTGAGTGTAGAAGCTGCCCCAGATTCTGTGCTCCAGGTGGAGAAGGCCTCAAGAAGGTGAAGGGATGAGCTAATCTGAGCTTCATGGCCCCATTTTCAAGGATGTGATTAGTGGAGAGGCACCTGGGACCTGCTCCATTTCAGGAAACCCGGTTATGGGAACTGGTGGGGGACAGACTTTGCACAGGACCCAGGAGAGGCAGTTAACCCTTTCCTATTATCTGTATGGGAAACAGCCTCTTTTATATAATTAATTAGTTAATTTATTTATTTATGAGACAGAGTCTCACTCTGTTGCCATGGAGTCATAACTCTCAGAAACTTCCAGCTTTTAGGATCAAGGCAGCCTCCTGACTCAGCCTCCTGAGTAGCTGGGACTACAGGCACCCACCATGAAGCCTGTAGTTTTTCTTTTTTTCTTTTTCTTTTTTGTGACACACAGCTAGTTTTTACTGTGTCTCACTGTGTCTCCCTTGGTAGAGTGCCATGGTGTTACAGCTCACAGCAACTTCAAACTCTTGGGCTTAAGCAGTTCTGTTGCCTCAGCCTCCCAAGTAGCTGGGACTATAGGCACCCGCCACAACACCCAGCTATTTTTTTTTTTTTAAGAGACAGAGTCTCACTCTGTTGCCCTTAGTAGAGTGCTATGGTGTCACAGCTCACAGCAACCTCCAGCTCTTGGACTTAGGCGATTCTCTTGTCTCAGCCTCCCAAGTAGCTGGGACTACAGGCACCCACCACAACGCCTGGCTATTTTTTTTGTTGCAATTTGGCCTGGGCTGGGTTTGAACCTGCAACCCTCAGTATATGCGGCTGGTGCCCCACTCACTGAGCTGCAGACATCGCCCAGCCCAGCTATTTTTTGTTGCAGTTGTCATTGTTGTCTAGCTGGCCCAGGCTGGATTTGAACCTGCCAGCCTAGATGCATGTGACTGGCAACCTAACCACTGTGCTACGAGCATTGAGCCACCTGGCTGTTTTTTCTATTTTGGTAGAGACAGGGTTTCAATTCTTGCTCAGGCTGGTCTCAAATTCCTAAGCTCAAGCAATTCACCTGCCTCAGCCTCCTAGAGTGCTAGGATTATAGGGGTGAGCCACCATGCCCAGCCAAAATAGCCTCTTTTAATAGTTGCTTGTTTCCAGGGGAGAAAGCCCTCAAAATTGACTTCTTTTTGTGTCAGCTTTTTTCCACTGAATTTCCTAGGGTCACCTCTTCAGGGCATTTGACAGCTCTTGGGGGAGTCTGAGAACAAGGTAGGATCTAAGACTAGGAATGATCTACACAGAGAGGGCATATTCACAAGGGAAAGACAGCTCAATAGTCCCTAAAAGGTCACTGTTCATCTGGCAGCATTCCCTAGGAGGGGAGAGACTACACTCAGATCCTTGCATTTGGGTCAAACTGGTGTTGTTTAGGTGAAGTCTCTTCCAAACAGACAGGGATTTCTTCTCAGAATAAACAGGATATCCAAGGTGGACATGAAGCAGTAACCCTAATCCTAAGGTGGGTAGAGAAATGGAAGCAGAATCCATATGTCACTCAGTAGGGACTGGGATAAACTGGGCTCCCAAAGACACTGTTGCTAAGACCTTGAAGGCCAGGGCTGAAAACATCCAGCGTCATATCCAAAGGTTCTTTGGTTGCCCTGGTTGACTAAGGTGGCTTAAACTGTGGGCAGGTCATTGGATTTCCTTAGGCCTCTAATTTCTCCGTCTATTGAAGATGACAGATAACCTCTGAAGCCCCTTCTGGCTCTTATCATTCTATTGCTCTGAGCATGGGGTCTGAGTTTTTATAATGTAGAATTCAATAGCATATGTTACTAGATCCCAAACAGGGTGGGGACACATCGATGGGCATAGAGAACTGAGAATTGTGGCTTATTCAAGTTTTGGTCTGTGGGAAACGGAGTATGTGACAATAAGCTGTCACTTAATAATGTTACTAGCTCCTTTTCCCTGGGTAACTCCTTTTCCTAAAGGGGATGAGAGAGGGGCAGGGGATGTGGGTGTGGAGAAGAGAGTAAAATCATAAAGATTCCAATAATGCCCCAAATGCCAGCTCTCTTATCAAATTTAGTGGTGCAGTGAATTTTCCAGAAACTAAAACTACTTTTCTCCAATAGGTCTACCTGTGAGCAACTGAGGTGCGGAGGAGGGGCAAAGTGCTGATTCAGGTCTCAATAGGCATGTTCTTTGGAGGAGCACCAAGGCTGTGTACTGGGCAGGTACCCTGCCAGCGGCCCAGCCTGTTCTACCCAATTCTGCCTCCTTGGAGCTGCGGTGGAAGAATTTTCCCTGAAGGAAAGCAGCCAACACCCCGTCCCACCCTTCTCCTTCTGCAACTCCTTGCCAGGCAGGAATCTCATCATGGTTTGCTTTTCGCTGCCAGAGCGCCAGCAGTTGCGGGCTTAAGCCCCCCTCGCCAGGCCGCTCAGACCCTCCTTCCCTTCAGCTGGGGACTCTCTTGGAAACCCCCAGAGTCCAAACCCGCTGCAGCCCTAAGCGCGGGCGAACGGGCGAAGCGCCTGCCTGGGGCGAGGGCAGGCTGGGAGATGCTTGGGACTGGAGGTGCCAGATGAAAGACGGGGGACGTTTAGTTTGGAATTGCAGATTAACAAATTATTCTTTTTAGCATTTGTCCCAAATATTGATGAGATATACGTATATTTATAAAAAATTCCTTTATCTTAAATTCAATTTTAACTGGTCGTCCTTGCCTAAATCTGGAAACCAGAGGTTGGCATAGTGCACTCAAGGCACCCCCCCTCCCCCCGCAGAAAGCTAGGCTGTTTTGGGGTCAAGAACCAGTTTGGGATTTCCGCCCAGGCACCAGCAGCTTCTCCCGGCTGAGCAAAGGGTCCTAGAGAGCGCGAAGAGCGGTGAGGGCGGCAGGTTCTCTGAAAGGGGCTGCAGGCAGCATTCCCGCAGAGCTGTGGGAACGTCTCCGGGAGAGGAGGGAGGGCCTGGCCTCTTTCCCGCTCGCCCCCAGCTGCGGCGGCCCGCAGGCTCTCCCTTCTCCTCCCGGCCCCTCCCCGCTACTTTCTGCGGCTCGCGGCCGGGGGCGGGGCGGCACCGAGTGCGCAGGCGCGCCGGGGGGCAGGCGGGGCGAGGGTGAGCGCGGGCGAGCGTGGGCGGACGCCCGGCGGAGGAGCGGGCTGCGGGAGGGCAGCTTTCGGCTGGGTGTTGCTGCTGCTCCCGGCGCGGAATGGAGGGGACGGCAGTGGCCGTCTTCGAGGTGATGGCGGGAAGGGAGAGGAAGCAGAGAAAGACACTTTATGAGGAGACGGGCTTTGTGAGGAGACCGCCGAATTTGGGCAGAGGGGTCTGGCGTTTCCCCAGGTGCAGGAGGAAGGTTCGGAATGCTGTGGAGGCTGCGACCATCAGCCTGCCTCCCGCGGATTGTCGGACAGACGGGAGCGCTGGGCAGGCGCGCTCGCGGGGTTGTCCGTGAGGAGCAGCTGCTCAGGCGGGGGAACGTCCCCCACACGTCCCAGCTGAGGACGCCCGGACTCAGAAGGCCGCGGGGTTTGCTCAAACTCAGCGGACACCAAGGGGCCGAGCCAGATGCCGCCTCGCCGGGGGCCGGCGCTGATCCCAGTGCCTCCCTTGCCCGGAAACGGGCAGCCCCGAGGGCAAGTCGGGGAGCCGGGACGGCAGGCGAGGAGGGGCGGGGCCCCGTCTCAGGTCTCAGGTTAGAGGAGGTTGGTACAGACTCCGGGGTCCCAGGGCGGCTGGAGACGGGGTGCAGCTCCCGACCTTGCCCGACCCTGCCGGCGCGGGAGCACTGAGTCCCTCCCTGCTTGGGAGCGCGGCGCCAAGCACCTGGCGCCCTCCACGGGCGGGCTCTGCCGGGCCAGCGCCGGATTGGACGCTTCGCCCGCGCGGGCGGGGTCTGGGCAGCTAAAGCTGAATCCCGGGCGCCGTGCCCTTTTGTCATCAGAGAAGGTTGAAGGTTTAGATACTGCAGGTGATGGAACCCAGCGCCCTTAGTCTTGGGCTGGAGTTCTTTTCGCAAGTGCTCTCTCATTTCGGAGGTAGACGCTAAGGGAAATCTGGACAGAGGGAGCACAGGAAATAGAGGGTGTGTGGAGGAAAATGTTAAGACTGCACATTCCTGGAAACCATCCTTATGAAACTCTGGGACAGATCAGTGTCTTAGCTTCCAAGTTCTCTTAGTCTGATTTCCCTGCCTTCAGAAAAAGGGGTGGTAGGTGTTGAAGGTGGTTAGTGTTGAAGTGGAGTTTACGTTTATTAATAATGGAATTAAATACACTTTAAGTTTATTTCATCAAGATTGACTATTTTATCCACACAACTTGGAGTCCTGTTCAGCTTGAAAGAATTGTGTGGGCTCGGCGCCTGTAGCTCAGGCAGCTAAGGCACCAGCCACAAACACCAGAACTGGTGGGTTCCAGTCCAGCCCGGGCCTGCCAAACAACAGTGACAACTACAACCAAAAAATAGCCAGGCACTGTGGTGGGTGTCTGCAGTCCCAGCTACTTGGGAGGCGGAGGCAAGAGGAGTTGCGCTTAAGCCCAGGAGTTGGAGGTTGCTGTGAGCTGTGACACCATAGCACTCTACCCAGGGTGACAGCTTGAGGCTCTGTCTCCAAAAAGAAAAAAAAGAAAGAATTGTGTGCGTTTTCTAATAGCTAATATCTGTTATGTGCCCTGCACCGTGTTAAGCATTTTGCACATACTTTTACTTTCAGCAGTAGCCCATGTATTTTATCCTCATTTTTGTAGATGAGGAATTTGTGGTAGAGAAAGGTTAAGTAACTTGCCCAAGGTCACATGCTAGAATTTGGCACATCGGTGGTTCAAATCCAGGCATTTTCTTTCCTGAAGTGGTAGGAAAAAATAAAGACAAACCCAGGCATTTACCCTTAGTACTCTTACGTAGTATTCTGACCCTCAAAATGTTGATTTAGGCAGTGTCTGGCTGGCTCTTCAATAAAAGGACTCCTCTTTAAACTTGAAAAAAACAAATCAAAAAGCCCATGTTGATTTAATGAAAAATCAATATGATTCATAACCAGAAGTCACTCTTATTCATGGTCATCTTGTTGGCTTTTATTTGAGGAGAAAAAAAGAAAAAGTCCCACTTAATTTTACCCTCATTATTTCCAAAATGAACTTAATTCTCTGAATAAAATAATTTGTTGTCTCATTGCCCTGTCTTGGACATTGTGTTGAATTCCACTGTTTCCTTTCTTATGTCACTCTCCCAGAAGCTATTTATGCGGTTTAGACACAATGAAAAATGTAAATCTGATATTTCACAAGCAAGAATATAGTTTTGGGGAGGAAATTAGAGTTATTAATTTAACTGTATCACATGAATTATAACCATGACTTCTAAAGAAGATTGTGTTTTCTTTGAATTGTACCTTTTTCAGATTTTGAGATACTTAATAATTCACTGGAAGTGTGAAATAGGAGTATCAAAGGGAGCGTTGCTAGAAGAACAGCTAGTGATTTCCATAGAAGCGTTACATTCTAAGCACAAGGCAAATGCTCTTCACTGTGTAACAACTAGTAAGTAGAGAAAGAAAAACTATCGATTTTATAGCTTTGTTTTGTCATGATTCGTGTCATATATTTTTTAAAAATGTCAATTAGGCTTGGTGCCTGTGGCTCAAGTGGCTAAGGCGCCAGCCACAGACACCTAAGGTGGCGGGTTCGAATCCAGCCCGGCCCGCCAAACAACAATGACGGCTGCAACCAAAAAATAGCCAGGCGTTGTGGTGGGCGCCTGTGGCCCCAGCTACATGGGAGGCAGAGGCAGGAGACTCGCTTGAGCCCAGGAATTGGAGGTTGTTGTGAGCTGTGATGCCATGGCACTCTAGCCAGGGGGACAGCTTGAGGCTCTGTCTCAAAAAAAAAAAAAAATGCCAATTAGATTCTTATTTTAGAATTGTTCCATAGTTTAAAGCAAAATGATTATGTCATAAGTCTCTGGTGTTAGATTTACAAATATTTCTTTTTTTTTCAAGCAAAAATAGTCTTTACTCAAATTTAATGGAAATGGGTCACTATACTTTGCAAGACAAGAAAAAGTAAAATTTAAAAAAAATTATTTTTTAATATAAAACAATATAATCACAATACCAGAATATGGAACTCTACAGTTTATTTCCTATGGGTTGCTGCAGGTATCAATTAGATTTACAAATATTTTATACAGGAGAGGTGAGTGGAATGACTCTTATGAGATTATTTTTATTTGTTTTCTTGAAACAGAGTCTTACTCTGTCACCCTGAGTAGAGTGCAGTGGTGTCAGCACAGTAGCTCACAGCAACCTCAAACTCTTGGGTTCAAGTGATCCTCCTGTGCCTCAGCCTCCCAAGTAATTGGGACTATAGGTGCCCACCAGAACATCCACCTATTTTTAGAGAAGGGGTCTTGCTTTTGCTCAGGCTGGTTTCAAACTCCTGAGCAATAATCCACCTGCCTTGGCCTCCCAGAGTGCTAGGATTACAAAATTGAGCCACCTGACCCAGCCCAGATTATTTATTTTTACTGGCTTAGATGAAAATTGCTTAGAGACTTGGCACCCATAGCTCAGTGGTTAGGGTGCCGGCCACATGCACCGAGGCTGGTGGGATTGAACCTGGCCAGGGCCTGCTAAACAACAATGACAACGGTAACAAAAAAAAAGCTGGGTGTTGTAGCGGGCTCCTTTAGTCCCAGCTACTTGGGAGGCTGAGATAAGAGAATTGCTTGAGCCCAAGAGTTAGAGGTTGCTGTGACCTGTGACACCATGGCACTCTACCAAGGGTGACAAAGTGAGACTCCATCTCAAAAATAAATAAAAATAGGGCAACGTCTGTGGCTCGATGGGTAGGGTGCTGGCCCCATATACTGAGGGTGGAGGATTCAAACCCAGCCCCTGGCCAAACTGCAACAAAAAATAGCTGGTCGTGTGGCGGGCACCTATGGTCCCAGCTACTCAGGAGGCTGAGGCAAGAGAATTGCCTAAGCCCAGGAATTGGAGGTTGCTATGAGCTGTGATGCCATAGTACTCTACTGAAGGTGATAAAGTGAGACTCTGTCTCAAAATAAATAAAAATAAAATTGCTTAGAAACAATATTATTTGACCCTTAGTTTTAATCTACTCTTTCATAGAAAAATTATATTACAGTATGCTTTCCCTATTTTTTCTTTCATGTCCAGACCTTAGCAGTTCCAATAAAGCCAAAAAAAAAATTAGGGGAACAGAAGAGAAAATGAGTGGGGTACGCTTTGATAATTCTCACTTTGCAGTTAGTTTGAAAGTATCTTCCACTGGGATTTTACTCTTTCATCATTTTTGCCAATTCAAAAATGAGGAACAGCTGATGCATTGAGTGGCTCTGAAACAAACGTGTTAAGTGCTTGTTTTTAGGGGGCTATGTGTGTCCATTGTCCAATGGGCTATGTCTACATCCATTGAAGAAAACTTTGGAATGAAGTCCCATCAGCCTTTAAAGGTGTCACTTGGACACTGAGTGGAGAATAGGTAGATAATACCTTAGGTCTATAAGACATTTACTCACCTGAGCTGGAGTTTGGTTCTCTTTGTGTACTTAGTGTTAAACATCCTCAAGAGAAGTATGACAGATTGGTTGGTTGTTAATTCCATTAACTCCACTCTGGGTAGAGTTCCCACCACTCACAAAAATGCTTAGCTACGTTACTACGATGATGTTTGGTATGTACGTGATTGTAATAGATTGTGCATTAATTTGTAATCCAATAAACTGTAGCCCAAGTAGCATGGTTGACTTCACTCAAAGCAAAAGACTTTAGCCACAATAGCCTTTGGAAAAAACCAATTCTGCATTTTGAGTCTAATGGACTTCCTTAGTCCATCTAGCATGGAAGTATTTCGCTTCTCTTTATTGTCTCTCAGCTTTATGTAATTATATTTATAATTTTTCTTTTGACTGTCACTCTATCACCCTGGATAGAGTTCTGTGACATCATCATAGCTCATAGCAACTTCAAACTCTTGGGGTCAAGCAATCCTCTTGCCTCAGCCTGCCCCAGTAGCTGGGAGGCGCCACCTAACCTGGCTATTTTTTCTATAGAAACAGTCTCACTTTTGCTTAGGCTGGTCTGGAATTCCTGAGCTCAAGCACTCAGCCTGCCTTGGCCTCCTAGAGTGCTAGGATTGCAGGAGTGAGCCACCACACCCAGCCTGTGTTGTTGTATCTTGACTTAACTTTTTTAGGTACTATTTATTGACTTCCTACCATGGAAGTTGATAGCTCTCTTTCATATCTTCAACTCTATCATGTCTTTCTTCTACTATAGTTATAATTTTCACACCAAAAATGTATTACTGTAAAAATTTACTTATGACCATAAAATTCTATTCACAGTTTAGCCATATAGAAAACTATGGTTACTTTTTTGTTATATTTTCCCTTCTGTTAGTAATTGTTTTAATTTATTTTCTATGTTTTTATCATCTAGTCAACACCCAAACTTTCAGCATTTGTCTAAATTTACTTAATATATTCCAACACATCAGGTATTATATCATTTCATCCTCCTGAAATGCTCTGTCTTAGAATTTTCTGACCTGCTTTAATCTTGACCTGACACCCTCAGTATTTGGTATATTGCTCTCATTTTGTGATCCTTCCTTTGTTGTTTTTCAGAACATTTATTTAGTTTTCCTCGTGTGCTAAATTTTGTGTTTCCTGGCTTATTTCTTGTTTTGATGGATCTCAGGTTCCAGTAGTTTTTTTTTTCTTTTTTTTAGAGACAGAATCTCATTTTATCGCCCTTGGTAGAGTGCTGTGGCGTCACAGCTCACAGCAACCTCCAACTCCTGGCTTAGGCGATTCTCTTTCCTCAGCCTCCTGAGAAGCTGGGATTACAGGCGCCCGCCAGAACACCAAGCTATTTTTTTGTTACAGTCTGACCAGGGCTGGGTTTGAACCCTCCACCCTCGGTATATGGGGCCTCTGCCCTACCCACTGAGCCACAGGCACCGCCCTTCTGGTAGCTTCTTGAGAGAGTATTTGGGAGGTAGATTTCTTGAGACTTTGCAACTCTGAAAATATCTACACTCATACTTGATTGATAGTTTGGCTGAATTAGAATTCTAGGTTGTAATTCATTTTTCTTCAGACTTTTGACAATATTGCAATATTATCTTCAAACTTCAGGTGTTGCTATTGAAAATTCTAAAGTCAAGCTGGGTGTAGTGGCTCATGCCTGTAATCCTAGCACTCTGGGTGGCTGAGGTGGGTAGATTGCTTGAGCTCATGAGTTTGAGACCAGCCTGAACAAGCATGAGACCTCATCTCTAGAAAAAAAATAGCCCAGCATTGTGGCGGGTGCCTGTAGTCCCAGCTACTCTGGAGGCTGAGGGAAGAGAATAGCTTGAGCCCAGGAGTCTGAGTTTGAGGTTGCTGTGAACTATGATGCCACAGCACACTACCAAGGATGACAAAATGAGACTGTGTCAAAAAAAAATTCCTTTCAGTTTTTTTTTGTTTTTAAGATGGAGTCTCATTTTGTCACCTTTGGTAGAGTGATATGGCATCATAGCTCACAGCAACCTCAAACTCAGACTCTTGGGCTTAAGTGATTTTCTTGCCTCAGCCTCTGGAGTAGCTGGGACTATAGGTGCCTGCCACAACGCTGGGCTATTTTTTTTAGAGATGAGATCTTGCTCTGGCTCAGGCTAGTCTGGAACCTATGAGCTCAGGCAATCTACCCGCCTTGGCCTCCCAAGTGCTGGGCTTACAAGCATGAGCCACTGCCCCTGGCCCCCCTTTCCTTTGTTTTTTGAGGTTTTAGGAGGAAGTGAAATAAATGTGTGTGTTTGATCTGCCGTCTTTGCCTGAAAATGTGAAGTGGTGTCTTTTAGGTTTGGTTTGAAAGAACCGTATGTTAGTTACTTAGGGCTGCTGTGGTAAAGTACCTCAAACTGGGTGGCTTAAAACAAAATAAATTTCTTCTCTTGCAGTTCTGGAGGCCAGAAATCCAAAATGAATGTCTTAGTAGGGTTGGTTTCTTTTGGAGACCCAGAGGAAGAAAACTGTTCCATAACTCTCTCCCAGCTTCTGGAGTTGCTGATGGCTTTGGCATGTCTTGGATTATAGATGCATCTCTATACCTTTACACTTGGCATTCTCTGTATTTTTCCTTGTCTGTGTCCTCACGTGGCCTTCCTATAAAAACATTACTTATTGGATTTAGGACCACCCTAATCCAGTATGACCTCATCTTACTTTGATTACATCTATTTCCAAATAAGGTCATATACATGAGTACTGAGCATTAGTACTTCAAAGTGTCTTTTAAGGGGACACAACCCACAACAAAGTAGCAAATTTTATTTATTTATTTTTGTTTTGAGACTATCAAAAAAGGAAAGGAAAGGAAAGGACTCTGACAGAGTCTCAAAAAAAAAATAAATAAAATTTGCTAGTTCATTATGGGTTGTGTTCCACAACAAACTAGCAATAGAGTCTCACTAAGTCATCCTTGGTAGAGTGCTGTGGCATCACAGCTCACAGCAGCCTCAAACTCCTCACAGCAGCCTCAAACTCCTGGGTTTAAGCATTCTCTTGCCTCAGCTTCCCAAGTAGCTGGGACTACAGGCGCCTGCCACAATGCCCGGCTATTTTTTTTGTTATAGTTTTTTGCTGTTGTTGTTACTATTGTCATTGTTGTTTAGCAGACCCCAGGCTGGGTTTGAATCCGTCAGCCCCAGTGCATGTGGCTGGCACCCTAACTACTGAGCTACAGGCGTCGAGCCCAAACTAGCAAATTTTATAACTGAAATGATCCACCTATGAAAAGCTGAGTGATGACTGTATAGTTTTTTCCATCAGTAATTGTTGAAAGCTTTAACAGATATGATTAGTTATTGAAATGTTTCTCTCTCCCCTCTTCTCTCTCCTCTTTTCTCTTCTCTTTTTCTCTTCTCTTTGGTGCTGTTCTGCAGCCTCCCTCCCCCACTAATAAAAACCTTTTGTACAAGCAAAAAAAAAAAAAGAAATGTTTCCAAAATGCAGATGTGTTATGAGAAAGGAGTTATGTTATCACCTGTATTTGGGAAATGCTTGTTAAAATGTTTGTTTTTTGCTGTAGGTCTTCTCAGGACCTTTAATACGCCAGTGTGGACAGTGAAACATGTTTGAGAAATGTTATATACTGTAACCTCCTCCCCCCTTTTTAAGATCATCTTCTATAGGGGGAATTTGGGGGCAATGCTTGTTTTTAAACATATGTATTTTACAGATAAGTCTTTAGTCTTTGCTGTCATCTCTGCATCTGGAGGATAGCGCTCTATGACGTTAGTATAAAAACATTAGTGTATAGCTGGAAATTAGGGACTGAGTGGGCTGTGGAACAGGTGAATGATTGTTCTCCCTGAGCACATTTATCAAAAGTGACCTGTTTACAACAATTGTTGATATGATACTTGCTAAAGCTAAGAAAGGATCTAAGAAGAAACAGTGTGACATGCAGTTGAGAAGCATCACAGTCACAGTGTAAGGTAGATTGGTTGTATGGTTATATTCTTGTTCTCCACTAATCAAAGAAAGAATGTGAGGAGAATAATTTTACTCTAAGTGATTGGTTATAATATAGGCTGCCTCTACCTGCCATCCCTGCCCCAGTGACCCCCCTCATTATGTTAGAACTAGTATATTGCAAACATTTTGTTAAATGTTCTGTGCTGCTTGAACTTATATTTTTTTTTTTTTTGTTTTTTGAGACAGAGTCTCACTATGTTGCCCTGGGTAGAGTGCCAGGGCTTCCAACTTCCAACTCTTGGGATGAACTGATTCTCTTGCCTCAGCCTCCCAAGTAGCTGGGACTACAGGCGCCTGCCACAACGTCCTGTTATTTTTTGGTTGTAATTGTCATTATTGTTTAGCGACTCAGGCTGGGCTTGAACCCACCAGCCTTGGTGTATGTGGCTGGTGCGTTACTCACTGAGCTATGGTGCCGAGCTGAACTTAGACCTGTTGAATTATGAATTGCTAAGAAAAAAAAAAGAAATATGTATTGCTTATCATTAGTCCAAAAATTATTTCAGATTTGGAGATCTAGAGCATTCCTATCCAATTGAACTTTTGTGATGATAGAAATGTTCTTTGTGCTGTGTGGTACCAGTGTTCAGCCACATGTGTTTATTGACCACTTGAAATGTGAGTAGTGTGATTGAGGAGCTCAATGTTTAAGTAAGCTAAATTTAAATAGTTCATTGCTGTGGTACTAGGCATTTAGAGAATGATGTTTTCTCTCACTGTTGCTCAGTGATTCTCACCCTTTTTTCTTGACCAGAAGGATACAGATTTTCTGAGGGATAGGCATATTTCCATTACTTCCTCTGGGAATGATTTCTTAGATTCTTTTTTTTTTTTTGAGACAGAGCCTCAAGCTGTTGCCCTAGGTAGACTGCTGAGGCATCACAGCTCATAGCAACCTCCAATTCCTGGGCTTAAGCAAGTCTCCTGCCTCAGCCTCCCAAGTAGCTGGGGCCACAGGCGCCTGCCACAACGCCTGGCTATGTTTTTTGGTTGCAGCCATCATTGTTGTTTGGCAGGCCCAGGCTGGATTCGAACCCGCCACCTTAGGTGTATGTGGCTGGCGCCTTAGCCACTTGAGCCACAGATACCGAGCCGATTTCTTAGATTTTTAATTGAGGTCACATCTCTCTGGGAAGGGCATGTTCAATTTTGGGGAGAAGAAACCCTCCAGGTGGTTCTCATCTTTTATCCTCTCTTAGACCCCTGCTTCCTAACTCACCTTCTACCCCAGTAATTTTCAACTGGTGTGCCTTGAGAGGATCTTAGGTGTGCCATGAAAAATTTTAAAGGTCATTAAATTATTTTTGAAAGAAGTTGAAAGCATAGTAAATATATTCTTATTTTTACTCTTTTCTTTGATCAACACAATTTAAGTGTGCCAAGGAAGTTTATAGATTCAGATGTGCTGCAAGATAAAAAAGGTTGAAAAATATTAGTCTACCCCAAGGAATTATTGTTCTAAATATTTTAATGTTTAGTTTTAGAACGCTAGGTACAGAAAATTCTTACCTGCAAGCCTAGTAAAGTATTTTCCATTTAAGAGTAAAATTGGTTAAAAGAGGGCCAAAAATTTTAATTGAATCTTATACTGGACTACAAATTAATGGTATGATGTACTCTGATTACTAGCTGCAGGTTGGTATCTTCCCATAACCTTTTCTATAAGGTATAGCGGCATCCAAAGAGGCAGTGCTGATATGTCTGGGCACAAGTGTTGAACAAAGGTGAAAAGGCTTGATATTTGGTTATCATCTCCAAGAAGTTATTCTGCTCCCAGTCATTATAGCTTCAAAGTATTTCTGTGGTGATTTCATTTTGACTGAACTCAGTAGTAGTAGTCACTTTTTTAATGTTCTATACCTATTAGGAGTGTTTTTAGACTCCTGTTTGATTCCATAAATAAAATATATTTACTTGTCTTAGTTTGTGATATTTCTTTGTATTCTGTTTCTTACAGTTGCTCCTATAGGAAGCCTTTACAGTGGTTTTGTTTTCAAGAAGTTTCTAAAAGGTAAAATATTACTCAACTTTCATGAGACTGAATCTCTTTCTTGGTATTTTCTGAAACAAACTTTTACTGAAAGATAAGGTTGCTGAATTTAGTAAATAAAAATACAGGACACCCACTTAAATTTGAATTTAAGATAAACAGTGGGCTCGGCGCCTGTGGCTCAAGTGGCTAAGGCGCCAGCCACATACACCTAAGGGGGCTGGTTTGAATCCCGAGCCCGGGCCCGCCAAACAACAATGACAGCTGCAACCAAAAAATGGCTGGGCGTTGTGGCGGGCGCCTGTGGTCCCAGCTACTTAGGAGGCTGAGGCAGGAGACTCGTTTGAGCCCAGGAGTTGGAGGTTGCTGTGAGCTGTGGTGCCATAGCACTCTACCCAGGGGGACAGCTTGAGGCTCTGTCTCAAAAAAAAAAGAGATAAACAATGGATAATTTTGTAGGTTATGTCTGTCTTTTACAGTACTTTATTCTGCATTTTATCTGGCAACTCTACTGAAAGATCATCTATAAAACTATATAAATACAAGATTGGACAAAATATCTAGGTTACTGTAGCTTCTCTGAATATTCTCAGTGCAACTTCAGGCAAAGTTTCCTAAATGTGAAATAAAAATTTTAGTAAAGTTTTTGCTTCCATCTTCAAAGAAAGAATGTGAGGAGAGTAATTTTACTCTAAATGGTTATTAATATCCTTTTCTACATTATATGCCAAAGTTGGTATAGTTTAGGGCTTTTGGTGACCTTGGTTTTAAGAATTTATTTCCTTTGACTTAAGGATAATCTACAAGCCAGAGGGCATGATTTATTTTAAGGACACCAACTAATCTGAGAATTGGGCTTACATTTTTATCTTCTGTGGTTGTTTGGTTCATACATATTATCCAGTGGGCTGGATAATTGTCTTTTCCTAATGAGTTGTTAATTTGCAAATTTTCATAAAATAATCAGAATCTTTCTCTGTTGGTCAGGCTAGAGTGCAGTGGCATCATCAACATCATCATCATAGCTCACTGCAACCTCAAAAGCCCTGGGCTCAGGTGATCCTTCTGCCTCAGCCTTTCTGGTGGATGGGATTACAGGCACATGCCACCATGCCTGGCTAATTTTTAAATTTTTTGTAGAGAAAGGGTTTTGACATGAACCACTGAACCTGGCCAAAAACAATTTTTTAAAAGAAACTTTCCCTAACCAAATCTGTAATATTAGTAATTAAAAAAAAAAACAACACCAAACTTATACAGTAAAACATCTGAAGTTGACCACTCTGAAGTTAACTGGTCAACATAAGGAGGTGGTTGCCACGTGGAACTAGGCCTACTGTACTGGTAAGTATGTGTGGTACATGTCGAGTCTGTGGAAATTAGATCACCTTACGGAGGTAGTCTACAGAGGTGGGAAACTATGGAGGCACTGCTGTATCTGTTCTTGCTTTAAGAAAACATGCTGTGAATCGGCGCCTATAGAACAGTGGTTACAGCGCCAGCCACATATACTGAGGGTGGCAGATTCAAACCTGGCCTGGGCAAGTAAACAACAGCAACAAAAAAATAGCCGGGCATTGTGGTGGGTGCCTGTAGTCCCAGCTACTTGGGAGGCTGAGGCAAGAGAATCACTTAAGCACAAGAATTTGAGGTTGCTGTGAGTTGTGAAGCCCGGCACTCTTCTAAGGGCCACATAGTGAGACTCTGTCTCAAAAAGAAAGAAAAAAAAAATGCTATGTTTTAAAATGGAAACAGCCAAAACTCTATATTAGAAAGATATAATGTGTTCATGACCAGCCTGAGCAAGAGAGAGACCCCATCTAACTCTGTCTCTACAAAAAATAGATAAATAATCTGGGCATGGTCGTGGACACCTCTTATCCCAGCTACTTGGGAGGCTGAGACAAGAGAATCACTTGTGCCCAAGCACTGAGGTTGCTATGAGCTATGATGATGCCACTACATTCTAGCCTAGGTAATAGAGCAAGACCCTCTCTCAGATAAAAAAAAAAAAAAGAAAGAAAGAAAGATATGTAAAATAAATGTTTATGAAATGTATTACCATTTTTTTTTATTTGCAATTTTTGGCTGGGGCTGGGTTTGAAGCCGCCACCTCTGGCATATGGGGCCAGCACCCTACTCCTTTGAGCCACAGGTGCTGTCCACCATTGGGTTTTTTTAAATGGCAGGTTTTTTTTCTTGGTGCTTTGTAAAATGAAAATCAATTAAAAATTTTAAGTTGTACTTAAATTTCCAATAAGTGAGTTATTGCATAAATCAAAGTTCCTTCCTTTACCTTGGTTATATCAAGGAAAAAGAAGAAATTTTTTTTTTTTTTTT